GATATGTAAACACATGGAAATTGAGTGGTATGCATGTAAATGTTCCCATTTTTTTTAGAAGATTTACATGAATATAACTCAATTCCCATGTATTTACATATCTAACTCCCAAACTTGGAAAATATACATATATACATATACTTGGCATAGATATGCTGAAGTTACAACCCTTGTTATCAATCAACGGCTACGATTAGTTGTATGTATAAGATCTTTTTCCAACTTAAAACTAATAATGCATATAAAGTATACCACACACAAATATATATCAAAGGATATATATGAATATGAAATTGAAATTGTAATAGTTAAGCGGCCCAATACCTTAGCCTTCACGAAGCCCAATCTGATACAAGAGGGTCAATTTCATTTATTTTTCAAAGAAACTTGGCCCATATACATGGTCCAAAAGAGGCTTCTATTTGATTAAACTATGTAAGAAATGCATATGAATTATAGTATATTGTAAACTTACATAGGAAGGGCATATAAAAAGGTAAATTTAAATACCTAATACGCAATTCTTATGCATTTAAATGTACACCTGTGCTATAATTGATGTAATGTCAAAGATTTGAGTGTTATGTATGTAAATACGACAGTTAGGTGTTAGATATGTAAATATATAAGAATTGTGTGGTATGTATGTAAATGCCTTTACAAAATATGGTGTTTTATAGTGTGGATAAAGACTGATGCTTTTTAGGGTTCGATGCTAAAAAATACAAATTAAAATAACATGACAAAAAGTCACCTCCTAAGAACTAACTAGTCCAAATGAAAGGTTGAGAACACGTTAAGCTGGACTCATTTTGAACTCATTTGATCGAGTTCGAGGCAGATCTGCCAATCGGATCCATGAAGCTTGCCGGCTGTAGATATGTAAACACATGGAAATTGAGTGGTATGCATATAAATGTTCCCATCCTTTTTTAAGAAGATTTACATGCATACAACCCAATTTCTATGTATTTACATGTCTAACTCCCAAACTTGAAAAGGAGTTCCACTATTTAAACACTAAAATGGTGCTATTTTTTATGTGATATGAAAGATTTGGTTGATATACATGTAAAAGGTAGCGTTTAGATGTTAGATATGTAAATACAGAGGAATTAGGTGGTATATATATAATATATATGCTAATTACATCCATTGCTATGAATCAACGGCTACGATTAGTTGTGTATAAAAAAATAATAATGCATATAAAGTATATTATAACACATACTAGAATTTATATCACAGGATGTATTTTGTCTTATCTAAAATAATAAATATATATGATAGGATATATATGAATATGAAACTGATAATTGTGACTATTTAAGCGGCCCAATTCCTTAATTTTAATGAAGCCCAATATGATACAAAACAGGGCCCACTTCATTTGCATTCCGAAAAACCTTGGCCCATATTCATGAATCCAAAATATGCTTCTATTTGATAAATACACTGAATTTTTTCCAATCAAGAGTATGAAAACTCATCAAAATGTAAAGTGAAGTAAAATATTAGTTATTAAGAGATGAATAAATATTATTGTATGTGTACAATATAAAACTATGTAAGAAATACACATGAATTATAGTATATTGTAAAATTGCATGGGAAGGGCATATAAAAAAGGTAAATTCAAATACTTAGTACACAATTCTTATGCATTTACATATTCAACGCATCTTTTCATTTATAACATAGTGCTATAATTGATGTGATGCCAAAGATTTGAGTGTTATGTAAATACGAAAGTTAGGTGTTAGATATGTAAACATATAAGAATTGTCTGGTATGTATGTAAATGCCTTCACAAAATATGGTGTCTTATAGTGTGGATAAGGATTGATGCTTGTTAGGATTCAATGCTCAAAAATACAAATTAAAATAACATGACAAAAAGTCACCCCATTATACCCTAAGTGCTAACTAGTCCAAATGAAAGATTGAAAGCACGTTAAGTCGGACTCGTGTTGAATTCATTTGATCGAGTTCGAGGCAGATTTGCTAATCGGATCCATGAAGCTTGCCGGCGGAGCTTAAGGACTTGCCCATACGGGTTCAAGGCGCTCGATCTCTAGAGCTTGACTTTTTAGGGTTCGAGCCCTTGACTTTTTTCCCCTATAGCTTGACTTGTAAAATTCATGTCTATAATTTGGGGATCTTAAGGAGAGCCGAGTGTTCGATATTTTTCTTTTATATTATGACTTATTGAGCAACATAATGGAATTTTTCTACTTCCTAATCACATCTATTTCCCATTCACTCTTTCTTTGCTAGTTAGATTGGGATATAGCCCACAGATAAAAATAAGATCCAATAACATCACATTTATGGAATGTGTTGCAGGTTCGGGTTGCCTCGAAAAGATTTGTTCCAAAATCTTGGCTCATAGCTCGACTCGTTTATTTCGATCTAATCCCGATCCAAGCCAAAATTGGAATCAATTTTCGATCGATTAACAACCCGTGAGCTAAATTAATAACAATAATAATAACAATAATAAAATTAAGATTGAAAATTTGAGCCTCTTGACAACGGTTGAATTTTCCAACAAAAAAAAAACAAAGAATTTCTGAAGATTACTCCTGCCCACACCTAATAACTCTCATGATAATTTATTTTATTTATTTATATTATATTTCATAATGCATATCAAGTAATTTCGTCGTTGTATTGTGATGAGCACATGGGTAATTGAAGAAAGTACTGAATTTAAAATAAATATATGTTGAAATAAATAAATTAATATATTTTAAATTCTTATGTTTTTTGTTTTATTGGAAGGTATGCAGTAAGAATATTTTTAAGAATTGTGTAATTTTTTATTCATCTAATGGTCTATTATTTATAAAGAAATAGGGTATAATATGTGCAACTACATTTATAACCCTGTTTTAAACTAGTTGGGTTGGTGAGACTCTGATAAGTGGTGCCAGCTGGCAAATCTTGATAGATGTTACTAGTCAGCTAGATTGGCGGGGCCTTGGTGAATACTCAGTTCAATGGGTAAATGAGTTGTTGATCAGTTGGGTTGAAAGGTGTTATCGATTGACGAAACTTTCACTGGTTGGGTGGTCAGTAGAATTGTTTGGATCAGTTGACTTGTTGATCGATTGACATGATTGGTTGTCGATCTCCAATCCTTTATGAGAGTTCATGTCGATGGAGGGAAGCTAGGCTGTTAGACAGATGGTGGATCATAGTGAACCGATAGGTAGTATGCCTGGCGACAAAGAGAAACTCGAGGGATGGAAAAAACATCTCATTAGATTTGATGTTACTGGAGGAGATTGTCAAATGTCTCTTATGTAACTGCAAGACTAAAAGATAACTCCTCGGGTTTGTTTCATCGTGGTGATAGGCTTGAGGAATCTTCTGTCTTATATCTAGATGAGCCGTTCGGGCTCAAGTTATCTACTTGTCTTTATGTCTTAATATGTCTTAATACGTATGATTGGTGAGACTCGACACCCCATCAGATCTCCTCAACATTCGTGTTACCACTTTTTCGTATAGATTATTATTATGATGATATGTAGTTAAGAAAAACAACTATTCTCATGAAAATTTTTATTTTAATTTTATTTTAAATGATAATATTAGCTCAAAATTTTCATCCATAACTACTAAATATTAATCACGATATAATCATATCCGAAATTGAGAGAGAGAAATTTACAGACCTTCCCGCCATCATAAATTAATCAACGGTCAAGATTTATGTACCGTATCCAACGCGGTCGCATAATAATATTTCCAGAAGCGCTCATGCTTACGTGGCTGTTTTTTGAACCGTTCGATCGTGCTCTAGACTGTGGAGCGGGATCCGGAATCTTGTCGGCGACCGGCTTTGTCGTCTCCTTATGATTGAACCAATCCGAAGCCCAACGTGCGTGTGCGGGCCATCCCAGTCGTTTTCACCCCCCGGACATAGCCCACGTGTCTCCGTCCAGATGTGGGCCCCGCACATTGGCTTTTTATTTTTATTTAGAATTTTATGAATGTACATGCAGATTTTAGAAGTTGGATATATAAATTTTATTGTGATATTAAATACTTGATTGTTATATATGCAATCATTTTATTGTGATATTAAATACTTGATTGTTATATAAAAAAATGCAATTATAAAATTTTAGATTGATATATAAAAAAATGTGAGCGGGTAAAACCGGCTCATGTATAAGCTCGAGCTAACTAAATAAATGGCTATCGTTCGAGTTCGGAGAAACAAGTTAAGTTCGAGCCAGCCCCGACTCGACTCCAAGAGTTGAGCTCGAGCTCCATTAATTAATCATGCTGAGGGTGGCCCGAGCTTAACATGACTCGTTTACACCCCTAAATTATAAATATACAAGAAAAGTGTGACGTATAATTGCATAAAAAAGATAATTAAGACAATAGGTATATATTTATGCTTAAACTACTATCTACACTCCAATTTGTTAAACTTTAAACTTAAATTATCTTAATCAAAGATAAACTGTCAAACTGGTAAACCAATCAAGCGGCACGATATGTATCTTATTGATGAGGAATTATAACTCGCATGTCTGGACAACAGTTTGGATGAGCCGGCATGCAATTCGCAGCAGCGTGGTTACATCCGTACAGCAATCAGTCATACGTAATATTTAAAAAAAAATTTATTAAGATTGCTTGCAAATAAAAATTTAAGTATTTTTAATCAATATATTATAAAGTTGTTAAATTTAATTTAGAAAAAATTAAATAAAATCATGAAATCAAATTTTCAAAATGCAAAAGCGGGAAACAGCTATCAAAAGATTTTTTATTTATATTAAATTTTAAGGTAAGTTTACATATACAACATTATGTTTTTACATATATAACACTTAAATTTTGATATTTACACATTTATCGTGTTGCTTTTAAACAAATCGGGATGATAATATAAAAATATGAGTATGTACGTAAATATGATTATTTAGGTGTTAGAACTATAACTACATGTGATGCGTGCTAGATTGTTCGCAATGATGGAGTAATGAATTATTGTCTTAGCGTTGCGAGAGACTTCAACAAACAATCAGATGAAAGAAGAACAATCAGTAAAGACATCATAATTTTTTACGTGGAAAACTCGTAAAGGGAAAAAAATCACGAGATCTGATCTAGTCGTAAAAAATTACTATTGATTAATAATTACAGACATTTTTTTTTCCCGCGAACGAGAAAATGTTTCTAGATTTTCAGGTTATAATGTCGATTCACGACAGTCGGTGAATGTCTACAACAGTTAGTGGCGGCTACAACGTTCAACGGTGGTCAACGGTGGTCGACAGTGTTCGACGGGCGGTTAGCGGTACTTGAAGACGGTCGAGATGGTGTTGAACTTCAGCTCTTTCTCAAAGTCTCAAAATTTCACTCAAGGCTTAAGCTCCCTCTCATGAGAGTTGTAGGGCTTTTTTTCATAGTGTTATTGGCACACTTAATGCTGGAATATAAACTGTTTCGATCAGACGATCTGAATAGCTTCCTCCAATTAGATGGCATTTAACGGACATTTGATTGCCTTAATGATGTCAAAATTGAGCAATCTTAGGCTAAATACATTGATTTTTGTCGATACGTTAGGTTCAACTATAAATTCGTCAGATTCGACATTCGTTTAACCTTCTAAATGTGTCTTAAAATCCTCCAAGTATAGTTTAATGACTTAATATGGGCTTG